ATAGAAGTATAAATTAATATTTTATAAATTCCAAATCTTTTAGATTCATTATGTATTTAACAGTTTGTCAAGCATTCTTCAAACTCATTTATTTCTCTTCTTCACTTCTCTTGGCTTGTTATATCCTGATATATTTCTTTAACTAGGGTTATACACCTTTACATCTAGCAGCAATGCATGGTCATGAAGATATTATAGAATTATTAGTACAAAATTACAGTAAGTATCATATTTTGAAATGATTTTAATACTTCATTGAAGCAATCAAGTTATTCTCACATTTGTGTAACTATGTAAAAAAAGGACAGACAATGAGTGCAACAAAGCTTTTTCCTTCCTGGTTGCAGCAGATTGTATACAAACCACACACCAGATTTTCATTCGGAAAAGTGATGCATTCCATTATTTAAGTCTAAGTACAACTCTTTATGAGTAAAATTTATTTTGTAGAAGCTGATTCCAATATTAGAGATTACAGTGGGAAAAAAGCCAAACAATATTTAAAAAATTCAGCATCTTCCAGAACACAACGTAAGCCTCTTATAACTCATAGTATTTCATTAGAGTGTAAACATACAGCTATCATAGGTCCTGATTTACCTGGTCAAAATAGGCCACGTTCTATTTTACATCTATCACTTAATGAAACAGACTTTAAAAATAGAAAATAAAGGTTCACTTTCAAGTTTTATGAGTATTAGTATGTAATGTATGAATCTTGAATGTGTAATATTTATATTTCTATATTGGCTGATTTGATGAGCTTTTTAAAAATATTATTGTTTTAGAATACAAAATTGTAAATCTATTTTAGCATACACAACTGTTAATCTTTTGTAGCATACACAACTGTAAATCTATTATAGCATACAAAGCTGTAAATCTATTAAAGCATACAAAACTGTAAATCTATTATAGCATACAAAGATGTAAATGTGTTTTAGCATAAAAAACTGTAAATCTATTATTTTAACAAAATATTTGTAATGTTTGAACCCTTTTAAGGTTAATATGGTAGCTCAAACATTTAGAATTATATTCATGTTGATTCCACATGAGTTAATCAACAATTATCAAGATTTACGAATGGCTTATTTGATTATAATGAATTTATAGATTTGTATCTGTCATCATAAAACAAATTGTACTGTAGTATAAATAAAAACAAGTATTTTATATAGTTAAGAGTACAAATGTGATAAATGGATATTTTGTTTTGAAATGAAAGTTGTCTTAGTGGAAAATCACAAGAGCATATGGCCAAACTAACATCCCTGCTGTGAGGACATGAACTTACAATATAGATTATATTTTGATATTAGCTATTTTTGTTTATTCTTATAAACTGCTCATTTGAGTTTTTATTTATATTAGATAATGAAGTTTATTTTAGTGTATCTGTACTTTGTTTTAGCTTTGTATCATTTAGAGTCAAGCTTTACTAGCTTTCTTAATTTTGTGGTTCACTGCAATCTGTGGAGCCGGGTGATCAAATTTACTATCTACAGTGGAGTAAGGCATCATGTAGCCTCCAAGAAAATCCTATAACTTCTCATAGATTTACAACCAAAACAGGACTATTTGAACAAATTTTTTCATTATCAACCTTGCCAAAACGATCAAAGGTCACAATTACACCATTATCTGGTGGATGGTATTCAGGGGTTTCTAGTATAATACAAACTGTAAATGAAATATCTTGTTTTCAAAGATGTTTATGTATTTTATATTGAGAAATACAATATTTCTTCAAACCCAACTCAATTAAAGTTTAACATGACAAGATCAGTTTTTGTAAATATTAGTACTTATATTTATAACTGTGATAATTACTGTTATCTTTGCTTATTGCTAGATTCTGTTAATTTGTTAATCTCGCCATATAATATCTTACATAATTAGTTATATGGTAGCTAAGTTAGGACATATGGTTTATTTCTAGTCTGTATAGTTTAGTTTGTTCCCAATCAAACATTGGTGATAAAAGAGTTTTGGTTTTTGTGAGCTAAATAGGCCACTGATGAATAAGGAATGTAAATAAATGTGAAATTATATTATGATGATAATAAATGATGTCAGATGCCTGTAGCTCTCTTTTGTCATTTTTGTTTTGAAGTATCAAGCTAAGATTTGTAACATTGATTCAGAAACATCAGTTTATGTATGTTGTACTATGAAGAGGAAAGATTCTAAGTATAATGAAAGTGACCTTATAGATGCTATTAATGCTTCTATAGAAGAAGATTAGGCTTATAAAATTTGATTTCTTGAATTGTTAACTAAATACATAATGCTTTAGGTAGTCCACCAATCGGAATATTCTAGTTGAAATTATAGGCCTTTTTAATTTCACGATTTTATACTTCCAATTCAAAATCCCATTTGATGTTTTTCACAGTACTGGTATATCAAATTTGATTTGAATATATGATGAATGTATGCTCATTATCAGTAATTTCAGGTCAAATCCACAGTGTTTAATAATTGAAAATTTCTGTTTGGCAGTCCTACTCTATACTCTTTTCAAATTATAATTGAATGGTCTCTATAATTAATACATGGTAATTATTTTCTGTACCTGTAAATACTTCTAAATTATTAACTTACAGCTGATTTTGTACACTTTGTTGAATATAATTTTTCTATGCTACAAAATATTGTAATAAATATTATTGTCTTTAATCCATCATGAATCGTAGTTTACACAGTGATTAGAATGACAGAATTGATTTGATAGCAATGTATAATCCCACAAACTAATCTTGCTGTTCGTGACTATTCCCATACATTGTTGAAACCACTCTCAACACATACCTTATGCAAAAAACACATGAAAAACACTACAAATACAATTCTTGGCAGTATGTGAGACTCTGAATAGATGGTCAAAGTAACTCACAACTTTGTATTGAGTGAATTATGAAATATAACAGAAGAACAATAACTGTAATAAGATACAGAAGAGGAAGGATGATGTGGTACTATAATATTTATTCTTCTGGTTTTTGCATGTCCTGTATATAAACAAGTGTGCTGTGTGAAATTTTGGAACTGGATTAATTTGTTAATATGTTCTTTTAAGTTTCTTTATATAGGTCAAAGAAATAAGACATTTTAGAGTCTTCGAATCAAATATAGTTAAATGGACATGGTGTAATGAAATGTGAAACTAAATGTCTTATTCCATTGACCTTACATGTGTTATTGGTTTGTAGATCTGAAAGCATGATCAGTTGGGATGGTCTCTCTGTCATTTGAAGGAAATGCCAAGTCTGTATCTCCATAACAAATTGTTAAACTTTCTAGTTCAGAAGTCAGACTTTGAATTTCTTTTAGTGTAACCTTTCTACAGAAAAGCTGAAAAAATATGTAACTAGATTTATGTTTGGCATTTTCTTTAAGCAGCTTATTTTTGTTTGATATTTTACATTTTTGTTTGTAGCAATCAAAATTATTCTTATTGGTACAGATTTCGAATCAAGTAATCATTATTTTGATATATTTTATTATTCCCAGTTGATCTAAATATCATAGCAAGCATGACGATAATCTTCAATTAATTAAAACCATAGTTTTAACAGTACACATCTTAGTTTAATATGGCACTATGAATGTTTTAACTGTTTGCTGAGAAACTTACTTCATGCTTTCATTTTGTATATTTATTTTTTTTTCTTTTTTGTATGTTTAGCTGTTAGCTCTATTTATCAAATTAGCTTACATTTTTTTATGACAGATTTTGATTTCACAATGAAAAGGATAAATTCTTGGTTTTTTAGAAAACAATAGATGTTTTCCTATACTAATATAAATTTTTAGGGTATTTTATCTTGAAAAGTTGTTTAAAATTTAGGAAAATTTAACATGAAATTTGGATGAAATTCACCTATAGATTGGGGAGTAATTGATAGAAGAAGCATGCCCAAAATTTAAACAATATTTGAAAATATTTCAGCATGAAAATGACTCAATTAGCTTATATCATTATTTTTTAGATTTTTGAAGTACTATTCATTCTTACTGAATGCTGTTTTCTCAGATTTCAAATTTCATCTAGCTTTTGATATGATGAGCTATCATTTTTCTTTCTGCTAATTGTACATCTTGAAAACAACATTTAGTCATTATGAAAATATGTAGAGAAGTATAATTCAAATTAGATTTGAATAGAACAAGAGAAGAAAGGAAATATTATCTATATGATATAAGATTTTAGATTTCTACTGTATGATATTATTGTGAATCTAGTGCGTTTTTTTTTATTTGACAAACATAGTCTTATTTTGTATACTTCTACTTCAAAATCAATCTTTGCTAAAACTCTTTCAAATTATCTTGTTTCATCAATTATTTGGTTTTGTTAAAATATAACAAAAAAAAAATAGGATTAATGTTAAAAATGCTTTTCATTTTTTTTCATTATGGAATTTGTAATGTATCAGATGTAAACATCATTTCTATTCTTTATTTTAGAAATGTTATTATCAAGAAGATTAGCTGCAGCAGGATCTGTAAAAGGTAACTTATATTTGATGAATTTTTCCTTCTCTAGGAACCTAGACCTATGAGTCCAATTCATCAGTTTAAAGCATCATTTTATCTCTGAACTACTGTATTTTTAGACTCCTTACTAGCACTGATTCATTTGAAATCCTAAACCATTAAATTTCAGGTCAATCATTGGATGATAGTTTTATAAGAACAACATTAAGAAAGAGTAATCGTGCTAAAGCTATATCATCATTAATACAAGCTACTCAATCTAAAGTACATCGTAGTAAATCAACATTATTAAGATCTAGTTGGGGTAGTTCATCAGAACATGTTGATGATGATCAACCAACACCACCTGGTAGTTCTCATTCATCACCAACTACATCTCGTAAAGGATCAGTATGTATAATTTTAATATTTCGTAATTTACTAAACCTCTAGTTTGTTCTTTTTATTAGTCTAGTAAATATTATTAGTTGCACTTAAAATGAAAATAATTCAATATTACTTGTATTATTCAAAAAGAATGATGGTCAACACAAACAATGTTCTGAATCTAAATTTCGTCATAGTGGGATTGTGATTAACTTCACAGATTTTACAACAGATAAAAAAGCAGATGGATAAGGGATTTTGTTTTCTGCACCCAACGACCCCCTTCTCCTGAAAAAAAGTGTTCGATCTTAAGAGCATTTTCTTGACATAAGTCTTGTTATCTGTAATGGGTCTGAAAGTAAAAACCACATGTGTAAGCAGATTGAGTGATCAGGAGTAAGAAATCAAGAA